ACATTTTCTCTTGGTTAGGAATATAGGTAAATTTGATATATGGATGCTTCAACGTAATAGGATCATCTATTATTACTGCTTCTCCATAACTCGATAAATAGTTCGTTATTATCTCCGGACAATGACCACAAAACATTCCTTTAACACTTACATTAATTGACCTGGATTGTTTCTTGCCCAGTGTATAGTTAATTTTGGTACTACTTATTAGCTGAAAATCAAAACCACAGTCTTCAATTGTCTCCTTCAACTTTTCCAAATTATTGTCTTTATTTGAAGATTCTTCCATTACAAACTGACCGGTTTTAGTAACGACATTAATACCACAGTCCAATACAAATGGTAACTCATTAACGGCAGACAGAATTGAGGTAGCACAAGCAGCACAGGTAATTCCACCAAGAATTGCCGTTATCTTAAGATTGACAGATCTCTCAACTGGCAAAACTTCTAATAACCGACACTCAAAACCAGCATCGTTAATCAAATCTATAAGTTTATTAATGATCTGTTTATTAGGAATAATAACGACAGCCGTATGCAGAAGCAAATTGACAGAATAATTTAATTCAGACTCATTCACCTTATCTATCTTGTCACCCAAAAAGTTTCCAATTATTTCTGAAACTGATTGGACACAAGAAGCACAGCTCATGCCTGAAATCGAAAACACAGCACGAAACTCGTTGTTTATTTTATCAATCACTGTTTCGAATGAGCCATCTGACAGAAAACTATCTTTTTTTAAGCCAGAGGCTTTCGAATTATTCAGATTCTTTTCTTCTGAGCATTTGGTACAATACTTCAAGTGATTTTTAACTTGTCGCTGGTCTTTATATTTCGACCAAATGTTAAACAAATCAAAAAACCAGTCATTTGTATTGACATCATTATCATTAGCAGGTTGTATGTCGTGTATATTCTCCGAGCTTAGTTCAAATTCTCCCTTTTTATAAAATTCCCACGATAAAACATCAAATCCGGTTCTCGATAAGTGCTTCGTGATTCTCTTAATTGAATTTTGTAGAGTTGACTCCACTGAGTCAACTTTTGGCTTATGATACAAATGGACCTTGGCTTCCTTGATATATGCATATGCTGTATTGTCATTATTAATAGGAATATCGACTTCTTCGGACCATTTATCGTCTAACCTTATAATTTTGAAATATTTATTAAACGTAGCATAGATTTTCTCTTCGCAATCCTTGCAATGAACATTATCTAAGTTTAAAAGTAGATGTTCCATAATTGCAATGTTTATGAATAGATACCTTCGAATATAGATATCTTACAAATTATTATTTGAATATCAAAATGACAGATCTTGAAGCTTATATAATTTTGCGGTTTTATCGCTGTTATAGATGAGCTGTTATCAAAAAAATCAGTAGCACTAATGACGCAAAAAAACATTTGTCATACAATCAAGATCAACCCTTTTCGCATTTATATTAGATTATTTATCTTACAAGTCAGTCAACCAAAAGGTTGCTGTCATGCAACCAATATTGACCGTATACATTGCATATGCTATAAGTTTAATTCAAGGATGTTATCGAGAGTGAAATTGCAATTCCTACTATTAGCAGGACAAGCTTTTCAGTTAGTGTATGGAAAAATACGCAGGTAACTATGTACATCATGGACCATATAATAAGCAATGATACCGTTGATACAAAACAGACTAAGCGAATTACATTTGAATACTCCGTTTGTATAATGTACCCTTGTTCGTGTGCTGGAATAGAAGGCAGATACTCGTAATCAAAATTTGAAAAATATGCTCTAAGACTTGTATATCCCTCAAACAGTTCAGAAAAGTGGCGTAAATCTAAGTTTTCTAAGAATCTTTCCCATAACAATAAACACATCGTCAGTAATATATAAATATGACCAGAAACATCGAAACCATCTATCCACTTGGCTCCTGGTATTCCAATACATTGAAATTGGCCTGCAATTCCAGTTTCTGGTGTACCAACATCGCAATATCCGCCAGTTATTACGTTAACTCTCTCATAAATCAGCGGTCCGAAAAACCATCCAAGTAAAATGACCGTACATAATGTGTATATACTGTAATATCTTAAAACCTTTAAAAGTTTTGAACGAGAAATCTTCAATTCAAAACGGCTATATGTTATTGCTTCACTAAAGTATGCTGCCGTGAATAAAAACCAACCATATCGTACAATAAGATTCTGATTTAAGAATGTAATGACGATATTTTCAGATACTTTATTTTTAAATTGATGAAGAAAAATATACCACGGAATTGATGCAACATATATTATAACATATGAGACAACAATGATATGCCAGATACATAGTTTCATACTTTGAGTCCGTAGCTACAATACAATTCACTGGAATCTATTTCTGGTGTTAGAAAGATTGAAGCACGTGAAATGATAACGATTTTTCAACCACTACGAGCAAAATTTATGATTAATCAAACACCATTAGTAATTTTCAGTGTAATAACTTTGCTTTCGTCTACAATTGAGTGTTGAATATACGGAAACATGGTGTTTAATATAAGACCTATTTCCAGGATATTTTGTGGGACTCTGAGAGTCAAGAGAATAGACGGTATTCTTAGAAGTAATTTTTCAACTGCTTTGTTTGGCCTTTCACCTACACCAACTTCGAAGAAACTTCAAGGATCAAATCCCCAACTATCCTTTCCTTGTCTCGACAAGTTAGAGAAGAAAACAGAGCTTCTTAGTTCTAATAAATCTTGCAGCGATCAGAATCTAAACTCGTTAAAAGGAGGTCCGGAACCGTCCTACTCGAAGGTGCTTACCGGATTTAAAGTTTACAAATCTGATGAACCTATTTTTTTTGACAATGGTGGATATTTGCCGGAGTATGAAATAGCATATGAGACATGGGGAGAATTGAACGAAGATAAGAGTAATGCGATCTTGATCCATACTGGGTTGTCAGCATCTTCGCACGCTAAATCACAACCTGATAATACTAAAGCAGGGTGGTGGGAGAATTTTATTGGTTCAGGAAAGTACTTAGATACTGATAAGTACTTTGTAATCTGTACTAACGTCTTAGGTGGCTGTTATGGATCGACTGGTCCATCGTCGAAAGACCCTGCAAATAATGATTATTATGGTACACGTTTTCCAATTGTAACAGTGAATGATATGGTGAGAGCCCAAAGGGAATTAATATATAATGAGCTTAAAATTAAAAAGCTTTATGCTTCGGTTGGTGCATCAATGGGTGGAATGCAATCTTTGGCGTATGCCTGGGAATTCCCTGATGAAGTTAACAAAATTATATCGATTAGTGGTTGTGCTAGATCGCATCCATATTCTATAGCCTTACGTCATACACAAAGACAGGTCCTAATGAGCGACCCTAACTGGAATAGAGGTTTCTACTACGAAAAAGTCCCACCTCACATAGGCATGAAATTAGCTAGAGAAATTGCTACTGTTACATATCGTTCCGGTCCTGAGTGGGAATATAGATTTGGAAGAAATAGAGCAGATGACTCTAAACCAGCAGCTTTATGTCCTGACTTCTTGGTGGAGACATACCTTGATCATGCTGGGGAGAAGTTCTGTTTAGAATATGACGCCAACTCGTTGTTGTATGTTCTGAAGGCCATGGACTTGTTTGATTTAAGTCATACTAACAGAGAAAGAGGTCGTAAACAAAGAGAAATAGCCGAAGAAAAGTATAATGCCGTTAAGTCTGATTCTAATGAAACTGGCACTTCTATTCCTAAAGTACCGTATCAGGAAAAAAAGGAAGCTGCTACTACAACACCAGAAGAATCCTTGGAGGATTTACGTAAAGGTATTAGCAAGATTGCTAACAAAGATATATTGGTTATTGGTGTTGAGTCTGATATACTCTTCCCAGTCTGGCAACAACGGGAAATTGCTAATGTATTAAAGGATGTAAATAATGGTGGTAAAATTGAATACTTTGAACTAGGTACCGATGTCAGTAATTACGGGCATGATACGTTCCTTTTAAGTTTGGATCATATAGGCGAACCAGTTAAAGAATTCTTGATGCATTAGTCTCTTAGTTTACAACATACCTATATACATAAACTATGCATAGTATAAAAAGGGTAATCCAAGAATATGTAGGATCTTTAATAAATAGTGTATTCTTATACAATTGTACCATGATTAGGATCTAATTCATAACCTAATCTTCGACTGATGGAATAAACATATTCTCTTAAGTTAGCAACAACAACTTTTGCCAAGCCATTATTCTTCTTTTTGTCCTTTGAATTTGGAGCTTCCATATGATGTGGCAATAAATTATCATGAGCACTCAAGCTTACGAACAACGCAAATGGAACAAGCCAAACACATAATCCAAAGAACGAACAAACCTCGACAAAGGAAGCAATATGTGGCGGTTCGTAATCTGGCTTCAAACGAATTTCCAACGGTGGAATGTATGGATTGTGGAAGTGGTCAAACCATAAGAAATGATTCAATATAACTAGTATACATGATGCTAGGAAAACTGGAGAAGTCAATTGAACATATGGGAACTTTTGCAAATTTTGCAAATAAACATAATAGGAGAAGATTGAGAATACCGTCAACTTAAAAGGGAACTTGTCAAAGATTAACAACAATACGAAAACCCCACTTATAACATATATCAATCTCGTTAAGAATCGCTTAGTAGGTTCAGAATGTTCCTCGACTAATTCAGAAATGTAGTATAATCCCGATGCAATGGCTAACACAAGGAATACAAATCCCACAACTAGACCGACATAAGAAAGTAGTTCAAGAAACATGGTATAATGAATTGATGTATTAGTTCCGAAATAACTATTTCTATCCCATATACTTCATTACTTGTCAAGATCTCTTCGCACGTGAGGCAACGCGTAGTTGTTGAAAAATGTATGTATATTCTAAATAGCTAAAAACAATAGAGAGTAGATAATTATTGGTTAAGGGATAAAACGTGGCGATGGATTCGCAAAGTCGGTCTTAATCGTAAATATCGATTGGAGGAATCCTATCAGTATTATAAAACCAATTTCCACCTTCTAATTCCCTCATCAACCAATCTGCTGGGAAAATGACCAAATGGCCTTGTATTTCCCTTAATAATCTTTCGGCAGTTTCTCTTTCGAATATTCTTTCACCTAATATAGCCTTTCTTCTAGAACTGAATGTTTTCCTTCTTCTTCTTGTTTTCTTTGGAGCTGGAGACTTATCAACATCGCTTTGCTTATAAGCCTCGCCGTTGACATTTAGTTGGGGAATTGATCCATTCTGTGCAGAGGATTTTTGGTTATTTTCAGACTCGGGACTTCTCGAATCTGATTCTTCGTCATATTCCATATGTTCTTCCGCATCTTCAAAGGTGTCACTTTCATTTTCATCTAGTTCAGGAATTGTATTGTCTTTAGCATTGTTGCGTTTAAACCTCGATCGTGATTCCCTACGCATGTTTGAGTCTGATAATGATGAACTGCTACTTGAAGACAGTGGGACTTCTCCTAAAAGACCAACGTCTTCTAATTTCTTAACATTAATGGTGGCTTGGCTATTTCTCTTATTCATATCAGGTTTACGGTATTCTGTATTGTTATCAGTTTCACTGTCCAGGAAACTCATATCATCCTGCCCACCATTGAAGTATTTATTCTGCTTTCTTGACTTAGCTTCATGTTGTTGTGAAAGCAAAAATGCACGTTGCAACTTTGAGTGATTCTTATACTCTTTCCATGATGAAACTGCATCATCAGGCTGAGTATGAAATATCATTCTGAAAAGCTCAGTATTTCTTCTGGCATGCTCATACCACATATCTTCATAAAAGTCCTCATCTAATGGATCTTCAAACCCATACGGATCAACAAATGTACTGAAATTTTCTATTCCTTTAGAATTTACGGTTTGTACTGTTTGGCGGACTCCTTCCTCGTCTAATGAAACAATAGGTATGTCATCCGAATAATCTGCCGGTGTTAGAGCAGGGTCAAAAGACTTTTTCTCGCTTGTAGAAGCTGATGACTTATAATTACTAGGATCAAGAGATGAAACAATTTTCTGATTTGGGTTGTCAATATTATCTATTGGTTCGGGTGTTCTGTTATCTTGTTTGGTGTTTTGAGATAAAGGATCCTGGCTAAATGGATCCATACCTGCTGCAACACGCTTCCTTGATTCATCTTCAGTCTGATCTTTGGTTCTTGCAGCAACACGTTGCAAATATGAAACCCTCTTCAATAGTTGCCATCTTTCTCTGTTTCTTTCTGAAATAATGTTTTCTGATTCTTCATCCATTTCATCAATCATTTCACAATCGTCTGATTCTAAGAATTCCTTAACAACATCACTATCAGGTAAGAAAATTCCGACGGGATTTTCTTCCATTGCCTTACTTGCAAGCTCTCTTAAAAACCGTGCACTATTCAACCTGGCTCTTTTAGCTAATTTAGACTTGTATTTATCTGGACCATCACCAAAAACGTCTTTTTTATGATTTTCGTTATGTTGCACTCTGGCATCGTACGAATGTTTTTTGCTATCCCTTATTCCTTTATTAGCTTCATTCGTACCAGTCCTATTGCTAAAGGATATAGGTAACGATAATGGGGATGGAATGCTTTGACCCTTTTCGTCTTCTTCAACATCATCAAGTGGAACTTGATCAATCGAATCGTCCACTTCGTTTACTCTTTGGTAGTTTTGCCATCTGTATGTACCATTTGGTTCATCAAGTATATCTCTAGAAGCAAGTTCCACCATCGCAGATAGAATGGTATTCTCCTTATGTCTAAACTTGCTGGTTCTTGCTTTTAAGCCCTGGGATGTGTGAGCAAATTCTTCGAACCTGTTGAACCGTCTTTCAACAATATCGAGAATATCAACACTCACACCAAGATGTTCTCTCATTAATCTCATTCTTAATGAGTATGCAAATTTACCCGCTAAGTACTCTTCTCCATTCATTCTACTTTTAACAGTATTCGTATCTCTAACAACTGCTGCAACCTCTGAGTCTCTAGAACCTCTCATGGATCTTTCATTTATATTAGCACTGCCAATTATAGCAGCTCTATCGTCCACAATCATAGTCTTGGCGTGAATATATAATTGTTCTGTAACTAAAGTTCTGTCAGGTCCAATTATACCCCATTTTCTTAGAGAAAAAAATTGGATGTAATCATCAGGATCGATTCCATACTTTCTTAATTTAGCAAAGATCGAAGTCGGTTGTCTCGAGATAGACATAAATTGACATTGCATAATAACTCTAACAGAAGATCCATCTGGTTCATCAACCTGTGATTCGAAACCAGGCATTAATGGAATCACTATTATAGCTCTCCAATTAGTGCCCTCATTGTGAGCTCTAATAATTCTATCAACCAATGCATCACCGATTCTATTCTGAATTTCATTCCCATCAATAACACATGACGTAACAAAAAATTGATTTTCTATGTAAACAAAATGCTCCGATGTTTCGATTAATTTTAAGTATGCATTCTGAATACTTTGCTCGTGTTCTTTTAATCCTAAAGACCAATTACCAGAAGACCTCAACAATTGGACTTCACAAGTTCCGTCCAACCCCATTTCAGTCGCTTCTTCATCGGAAAAATCAGGAGGTGGAGTAAGTAGTGGAGTATATCTACTTGGTCGTTTCTGTCTAATTAGGTAGTTCCATCTTTGAACAAAATGTCTAGATAAATCTCTGGCAACCTTACCAGAAGTAACCATGTGAACATCATGCCATGGCATTCTTGGTACCTCATTTCTATTATACATTGATTCATATGGCTTATCTAACTCCATAAAGTCCTTAACACGAGGGTTAGAATAATCTTTACCGGGGAATGTTTGGAATCTGATATATTCTTCTGGTGTGACAGAGAATTCTGAATCCAAGGAATTGAAATCCATCTTTGAATCATCTACCAACACATGATCTGGCGTATCAAATCTACCATAACATAAATCGATTCCCCCTAAGAATGCAACTGTTTGATCTATTATGCATAATTTTTCATGATGAGCCCAAAAGTAAGTGTTCTGAAGTAATTGGTTTGGAGATCTGATTACATGAATATTATCTTCATTCAAAGATAAAAGCGAATGCTTTGTATATAATGAGTCTGTTGATACTGTACTTCCAACATTACGGTACACAATCACGAAAATTTTAACTCCTTGTTGGGCCTTTCTTTGTAATATTCTATCAATTCTCCATTGTTGGTTTCCATTAGCTGGTCGACGCAAATATAATTCAGGAGATAACCACCAATCATGGATGAAAATGACATCTTTGGCCATTTCTAATGCCGAGGATACTGCCCAGAAATAATCTCTTCCGTCAACAAACCATTGAGCAAAGCAGTTTGTCCGAATTGGTGCAAAAGAACCGAACCTATGAGGTTCTGACCATATAGTTGATGCTTTCATATCTGTCAATGATTTAATCCAAAGCTTTTTCTCCTTAAATGATTTTGGGATCAAAACCAATTTTCTCTCGGAATTTTCCAATACGATATTCAAATGTTTAAAAACATTCTTATGAGCATCTTCTGAATGTGACTCATCTGAATGTCCTAATACGTTTTGAATCAAGGAGGAATCATCATAATCTGATTCTTCATCATCTCTCGCCAGTAGGAACGATTTATCGTCATCTCCATGGTAATGAATTCTAAATTTCCAATCGACTAAGAATACCTCCAAAGGTGACGTTGCATTAATGTCTGCAACATACATAACATAGGAGCCTCTAACCAAGAGCCATTTCTCAGAGCGCCTGTCTATCATACCCTTTAAATCATTGGCCTTAAAATGGCCAACCCTCCAACCTTGTGATTTGGCAGTACCACCAATATGAATTACACCCTGTTTACCAAGGAACCCCGTTTCGTAACTCAATAAGGAAGATATTGGCGATATCTCGAAGAATTGAAACAATTTATTCGATTGAGGTTTTAATGCTACCAATTTAATTAGCTCGTTCAAATAATTAGTCACCTGGTCTATATAATCCTGATTTTTCATGATTTTGGTTCGCAATTGTTCTGGAGACTGTAACTCAGTTGAGACAGATGAAATATTACTTAAATGAGCTCTCAAGCGATTGGTGAAGCTTCTTCCCGTAGCAATGGATGCATTATCATTATGGGGAGCTTCCAACATTCCGTCTACTCCTGCCATTCCATCATTAATATCTAAGCTTGTTTGGTTACTTCTTCCAGGATTTACTTGGCTGGGTCCTGATTTTTTACGATTTTGGTCATTATTTCCACGAGTCCTGAGAGGAGGCATTGGATACTTAGGCAAATCAGAATTCTTACTGCGGACCACTTCTTTCTTCCAACTGTCGAATTTAAACCGTGAATGTAAGTATAATAAATCTTTAGCATTTCTCTCAACTGACCATTTTAATCTTTGAGGTCCAACTCCGTATTCCAAGTCAATTCTAAATTTCCTGTTCTTTGTATTAATTGTCAGCGAGATATCAGTAATTTTGAACCCGATTAATGTCAACAATAATGGTGACCTCGAAATACCTTTTTCATCTTCTAAGAGACAGGATGCAAGTAAATTAATGGCAGGAGAACCTATTATTAAAGTTCCGACTAAAAGCTGGGCTCTTTCCCCAGTTGCGCGATCAGCTTCCTCTTCATCTGGCGCTGCTATAGCCGTACCTCTTCTGGATTCTCTATCCTTATTCTTATTTTTCCGACTAAAAAATTGAAACTTTCTCTTTGCACCTGTATTTTGATTTGATCGACCGCCAAACTTTGCCGGTAAAAAATTCGAAAATGATTGACCCCTAGTTGGTTGTGGCGGAGATTCTGGTTGATCATTGCTTACTTGAGTAACGTCCGCTAGGTTGGTATCATCTTCTCTGTAAGATTCATCAACATGCTGCGGGCTAATCTGCCCAGGGCTTTCAAGATCGCTCGAAGGTAATTCTGCTTCTATATCTTCATTTGGATATCGGTCATCTTCGCTTTGTTGCTGACTTGTATATGGAGTTGTGCCTTTGTCTTCATCGTCTTCATTGTCGTATCTTAATTCTTGTTTGTCCTCATTCCTATTAAAAAACGACCAAGAATTTCCCACAATTCTTGGTGAATCATTGAAATTCGCCATTCTACTTCTTTGAGGTTTTATCGGGGTCTGTTCAATTTGTTCGTCATTACCCTTTTTAGAACCGCCCGACACTATTCTATAAATTTCTTCAGGGTCTTCATTCTCCTTTAAACCGGGCGGTACGACGTTACCATTAGGGATATTTTCCTTATTTGTAGCATAGTTTATCTCATCAGTGTTATCTTCATCAAAGCCATTATCACTGCTCGTAAATCTTGGAAGGGATATTCTTCTAGAGTTGTATTTCATACCATATTTATTCTCTTCATTGCGACTTGGCTCATTCGAGGCCGAAGTTAAACCCAGCAACATTGATTCAAATATCCTCTATTTAACTGACGGTCGTACAAAAAGAGATAAAGGTAATAAATATTCGGAATGAATGTTTCGTTCCTATAATTATGTCCCGTATATAGCTATTAACAGTACAATCATGTTATGTATTTTTTTCATATTCGCTACTTTTGATTGTTTGTTGTTCTTCGCGTTATATACAGTAAATTCCATATTTGTTCTACAGGGCTTGCTATAAGATGAAACAAAATAGAACATCGTAGCTGAGGATATACGACATAGAATTGATTATTTAGATATATAAGATTGCTCATGAAGAAAGTCTAAATGCAATGGTCGATTTTTATCAAAATAATCCAAGCGTATCCATGCTTATAGGAATTTTCTAATAATATATCATGGAATCATTAGATGAGATATACAGGCATGGCTACAATATATAGATATGAGATTATAGCCATCATCAATGCGTAATCTTAGCAGTTGAAGTCATGGAAGGTTCAAATTTGGCCAGGTTTGTAACTAATTCTTAAGTTCTCCACACTAATTTCCGAGAGAGTTTACGTCAGATCTAAATAGGTCCAGGTGATCCCAATTGGCTCTATAATGAACATCTGAAATACCTTTCTTGTATACTACTCAAAACTCTGCCATATATGAAGTTTAAACACCATCGTTTCAACCTGAGGAACTATCCGGACAAGTCACACTTGTTCGGCAGCATCCTTCATTTCTATTTTAACATAGTCTTCTTCCTCTGGAACCACGTCGTCCTGTTCAATTCTGTTTAGTGGATGTCGAACATCCATTCTATAACTCTGTTTTTGTGGTCTTCTGTTCTTCATTATCCACATCAGATACCCTGAACTGACTCCCACTCCTACTAGACTTCCCGCAATATTGCAGAGAATATCATTTATATCAAATACACGGGAAGGGTTTACAATACTTTGTAGAATTTCCAGTCCAATTCCTGCACCCCCAGTGCAAACCAATAGAGTAATATATCGTAGCATCTTTAATTCCTTTCGCTTCGTGTTAAAGATGAAGTAAAATTCTGTCGTGAGTACCATGAATGTGAGAAAATGTATAGCTTTATCATGATTTAAATGAATCAGTGCAAGCCCTAAATAAGCAGCAAATATAAGGGATATGATGAAGACTTAAAAGCTGTGTTAATTTTTGGTTTCATTTTTATAATAGTTGAAAGGACGGTTTTCTTTTGAAAAAAATTACTTACTTATAAGAACAGGTATTCTTATAGATACCATTCTAAAGTCATCTAATAATTTATACTGTAGTCCTGGTTCACTAAATGTGTATATCATATAATATATCTCTCTCTTGATCTTTTAGGACCTCTGTTACATGCAGGTAATGAAATGTAGATATCAGTTCCGAAAAATTTACATACTATATACTCTTCTCTGATCAAAATGGTGAATAAATGAGGTTTATACGGAGTTTTATACCAGTCATAGGATGGTCGAACTCGCTAACGTTCAAGAGAAAAGCGTCAATTGACTATCTTGTTTCATCCCTCAACAGAACGGAAAATACTTACAAGGATGAGCACCCATCTCAAAAATGCAACATTAATAAATTAAAGCCGTCAGAAATTCCGCCAAAGGATAGCACGAAGCTTGTTGTATCACCAAATGAACTAACTGATCATTTCAGATATAAAGAATACCCCAAACCAACCAGAAGACAAATTTCTGAGACTCAGGCACTCTTTAATAATTCTAGTTTTAAGCTTGAGTGGACGTTAGATAAATATGATGAAATACCATATATAAAATATAAAAGGTTAAAAGAAGAAAAGACAGAGAAATTGTCTAAGATTGAACCCTATAGAAAAACGGAGTACCATTTGACGCAGTTAAATTCTAAAAAGACGTTTGGAATCCAACCAGAACATCTCAAACCGTTGCCAGAGGTTCTATTACTAGGAAACACGAACGTGGGAAAATCCTCGTTGATCAATAGTTTGTTAGTTAATAGAGAAGAAAACAAATCAGCCAATTTATCCACTGAGCATGCATTTGTTTCGAAGAGGGCAGGCTACACTAAGACGCTCAACTGTTTCAATATAGGTAATAAATTGAGAATAATGGATAGTCCAGGTTACGGTGAATTTGGGGAACTGTCGCAAGGAGAGGTTATAACAGATTACATAACCAAGGGACAGTCGTTGAGAAGGGTTTTTGTATTAATAGACAGTGTGAAAGGCTTTCAAGAAGAAGACTTACATATAATAGACTTCTTGATAAGTGAAGGGGTCTCATTCGATCTAATTTTCACCAAGGTAGACCAAGTTATTCAAAAATTCATGCCAAAAAAGCTAATCAATTCTAAACATGCTAATAAGCCCAAATCCGTAGAAGAAAGAGTCAACGGCGCCACTTTGATAAAACAATGCAATAAGAAGGTCATTGAGTACTTTGGTAGTATGATAGAAGAATCAAATATGTCTAATCTTGTAACCTTACCAAAATTATTCTTTAATAATGTACAAACGAACAAGTTTGTTCCTGGCAGGCAAGGATACAAAGAAATTAGATACGAAATATTGCTGAGTTGTGGATTGGTTAAAGAAGATACAATAGGTAGTAGTGCTGCCATTCAAGAAGAGACCATGATGAAGCAAAATGCACTTCGGAAGAAGACAAAGGTTCAGAGACTCATGTAAATAGATTCTATCAAGTTAGACTTGCAGCGTGGAACGGATAGTTTTAAAAAATGCATCTTATTAAAGCAATATAATATATTTAAACTAGTAATTGTGTAATAGTGTAATTGAGATTGAATATAAATAGAAGAAAATAAAAAGAAGCGTTTCAATTTATACTGATAATCATAGACGACTTAACATGAATGCCAGATCGATTTAGGGTTACGTTATTTCTGAGAAAAATTTCAGTGATTTATGATGAGTGAACTTTCAAATCTGATGATTTTATGATTAAACATTATACCTCAAAGGCTTAAAAACGACCACCACGGAATCCACCACCACGTCCACCACGGTCTCCGAATCCTCCACGGCTTCCACCACGGCCACCAAATCCACCACGGTCTCCGAATCCACCACGGCTTCCGCCACGGCCACCAAATCCACCACGGCTACCACCACGGCCACCACGGTCTCCGAATCCACCACGGCTTCCACCACGGCCACCAAATCCACCACGGCCTCCTCTGGCTCCTCCACGGCCTCCAAATCCACCACGACCTGCACCACCAGCAGACTTCTTCTTTGGTTTGGTACCGAATTCCTTTGGCTTAGGCAAAAATCTTTCTAACGGTAATAATTTATCTGGGCCAATGTAAAATTTGTCACCGTCCTTGAAAGAATCGGCTTGAACTCCTTCAGATGGCTTAATAGTGAAAAAAACTTCGTTCACAGGTCCCAAAATTTCGTCAACTTTACCGACTTGGGTCTTGTTTTCCAAGTAGATTGGAGCATTGAAGTATGGAATTTTAACATTTATGGAACGACAAACAATATCTCCCTCGCAAGATTGCATAAAGGCACCCATTTCTAAAACGGTATCTGGTGGTCCTTGTTGAAATTGAGATGGTCCGGTTCTACCACCACGGCCACCTCTAAATCCACCTCTTCCTCTGTTCATTGCTGATTTATATTATAATATGAATTTAAAAGAGCGATAGGGGTTACTATATCTACTAAAAACTAATATTAATGAAATTTTTCACTGTAGTGTAGAAAAAAATCTATCTCATCGACATGAAAAAAACGTCGCGACATTTCTTTGCGCCCGACATTATTTGCAAATGCCAAAATGTCGTGTTCCTTCTCTCTACTCCCCGTCAATCTGGTCAATCTGGTCAGTTTCGACCAGTATTTCATCATTGGCCTCACACCCCTTCCAAAAATACTTCAGATGACCATAGCTGCTTCATTTTCACGCCTTCCCTCATCCTAACCCAGTCTTACGCCTTCCATTGTAGTCATATCGGTAATAATCGTTCATTTTGTCGTACATAGGAGTGCATATGGCTCCTATTTCATGGTAAGTCGTGCGAATGTACATAATTGCTCCTGTAATCGTCTACTAATGGCTATGAAGAAATTAAACAGTGCTATAGAGGAACATAGGTCCAATTAATTTCAAATTTATAATATAAATTGTTATTAATAGGAATTTTTGACATTAATTGAGTACAAGATTCATTATGAGTGTTTCTCTGCGTATGTTTTTTTAGATCGATCGAATTGCGATTGGGGAATGGAGATGAATACTAACTAGGACTAGCTACCCCTACGTTTAAAGTGGGACTTACACCAGAAGAAAAAAAATTATATTCACAGTTATTCAAGTCTTTGGATCCGGAGGGAACGGGAATTATAACTGGAGAGAAGGCCAGATCGACGTTTGAAAAATCGGGATTACCGCCGGCTATATTGGGGGAAATTTGGCAAATTGCTGATCATAACAATTTGGGGTTTTTGACGCAGTTCGGATTTTGTCATGCTATGAGATTAATAGGTTACACGCAATCTGGGCAGCATCCGACCTCAACGTTGGGAGATACGCCTGGTCCAATGCCGAAATTTGCCAATTTGAACTTGGTGCAGCCACCACCTTCATTGCAACCACAATCAACCAATAGTTCATTCATGCAATCGCAGCCTAGCGCAATTGTTCCTCAGAATACGGCAACTCTCCAGTCCAAGCCTCAAGACCCAATTTCATCGATCTCGTCGGCCGATTATCAAAAATTTAGTCAACTCTTCATCAAAACTGTCGGAACACCAAGAGGAGAGTTAAATGGAAATAGGGCTAGAGATATATTCATGAAGGCAAAGTTACCCACTGCAACTTTGGGTCAGATTTGGAGTTTGGTTGATAGAGACAATAGCGGTAAATTGGATATGCCCAGCTTTGTAATTGCTATGCATTTGATTCATGGTTTATTAAGTGGAGTTATCAAGCAATTGCCACCTTTTTTGTCTGAGAATGTTTGGCAATCAGTCCAATCTCCTGAAGCTAACTTACAATCGCCAGGTTCTCGCCAAGCTTCTTATAACTCTATCAATTCGCAGCAAACCACGGTTAGACATCCTCCTTCAGCTGGCACACAAAATCAATTCCAACAACCTCAGTCACCACATAGAGATGTTTCTGTAAGTCAAGATGCCAATAGTTGGACCGTAACGCCTACTATGAAACAACAATATGACTCTATTTTCGATAATTTGGATAAAGCTAAGAAGGGACAGTTGTCTCCTGATCAAGTAGCTTCAGTTTTAATGACTTCAAAATTAAATCAACAAGACTTGGCTTCGGTTTGGGATTTGGCCGATATACAAAACACTGGTATTTTTACGAAATTAGAATTCTCTATAGCGTTGTTCTTAGTTAACAAAAGATTAGCTGGTGATAAATTACCAAATATTGTTCCTGACTCGTTGATTGAATCAATTAAGAGCGTTGGTGAGCCTCAACCTCAGTCAAATTCAGATACTAGAAATGCTTCCCAAATAAAACCTATTGAAAAGCAAAAAACTGCTATGGATGATTTGGTAGACATTTTTGGTCCAGGCCTGAATACGAATAACGCTGCATCAGCTGTATCTAATACAGGTTCATCAGTACCAAGTGGTGCGAACCGATCACTTGAAACACGTACTTCAAGTAGTGATTTGAGTCATCCTGGTGATTTACCAAAGGTTCGGAAAAACTTGTCGCAGTCATTTAAACCTACCTCATCTTTTGGTCAAACTTTAATGAATAAACATCAATCCTTCCCTGCTTCTAAAGAAGAGAAGGTAGAGGAAGATTTATTGGGTGAAGATGTTCGTCATGAAGCTGAACAAAGATCACCACCTCCTGTGTCAGAAAGCAAAAAAATTAATTACGATGCTTTAAGATCTGTCCCTCCTCCACCTGTGAAGAATCAACCATCAGCAGTTGGTACTGCATCTTCACCTATGAAACAACCAACATCCTCTGGGTATCAATCTCCTCCACCTGTTCCGGCGCACAGTAATGCCGGAAGTGTCTCGCGTGAGGGCTCGTTCCAACAACAAAGATCGTTACCAAACCAGAACGATGACTTGTTGGCCGATGCTGATCCTGAGATTTCTGGTCAATTATCCCAAGCAACTTCAGATATTGCTAATCTCTCAAACCAAATAAAGTCATTAACTACCCAAACTTCGGGATTGCATGAAAAGAAAAGTCGAGCAGAGCAAGAATTAACTAAAATTTTATCAACCAAGCAAGATATTGGTAACAAATTA